GGAGGCCTTATTGATGTCTACTTGTTTACACCAAGGTGCAGGGGGGATAAAAAGTAATTCTTTTTTTACCTCATCCCAGCTCACAGGGTCCTAGCCTAAGCTGTCTGGGAATGAAATCAATGCATCTCTGGCATTTACAGCGTGTTCAGGCCACAGGCCTGCATCTCCCTCCTAAGCCAGTAGTGAAGCAAAGACAAGCCTCCCTCACCAGAGCAATGAACCCACTGTAGGATACTGGGTGATATTTGGACCTTGTGAACTTGGAAAGGCAGAGAAATTCAGTTAATAAATAGTTGTTTACAGAAATTCTCACAAACTTCTACTATGGAGGAGGCAGAGGCAATAGACCTGGGTTTGAGTTCTCTTTCAGAGGTTGATTCATTCACTTTGTTTTGGGGCATCAGCCACAGTTCTAGGTGTAGAGGATACCAAAAAAATGAAGGTTCCTGGCTCTTTGCCAGCCTAGACCCTGGTGCTGGAGACAGAGAATTAATAATCCAGCCATAAGATGTGTAAGTGCACCAAAGCAACAATCAGGACTGAAAGCAGAAGTTTGAGAGCCAGACCACCTGGCTTTGAATACTGGCTGTGGCCGCGATGTCATGTCTGTGTGCCTCAGTATCCTTGTCTGTAAAATGGCGGAAATAATACTGTTTAACTTAGTCTGTTCAGGCTATGCATAACAACAACAACAACAACAATAAAACCCCACAGAGACTGAAGGGGCTTAAACAACAGAAATTTATTTCTCACAGTTCTGGAGGCTGGGAAGTCCAAGATCAAGATGCTGGCCAATTCAGTTCCTGGTGAGGACTCTCTTCCTGGCCTGTAGATGTCCACCCTCTTGTTATATCCTCCATGCATGCGTGCATTCAGTCCATAAGAAATTTCTAGGCAGTTGTGAGGCTTAGCTTGAGGAGTACCCACGAAATGCAAAGAATGAGACCTGGCCCGTGGTAAGCTTGCAGGGAATGTTATCTTAATGAGCACCATTTGGGAAACTAAAGAGGAGGGGATAGTGATTAGCAAGAATACAAACAGCATTAAGAAAGGTAGTCAGGAGGGGCGCCTGGGTGGCTCAGTTGGTTAAGCGACTGCCTTCTGCTCAGGTCATGATCCTGGGGTCCCAGGATCGAGTCCCACATCAGGCTCCCTACCCAGCAGGGAGTCTGCTTCTCTCTCTCTGACCGTCCCCCCTCTCATGCTCTCTCTCTCTCACATAAATAAATAAAATTTAAAAAAAAAGAGAAGGAAAAGTGGTCAGGAAAGCCTACTTTGAGGAGGTGACAGGGGGCTGAGGCCCAAATGAAATCAAAGAGATAGCTACACAATGATCTTTGGGGAACAGTGGTCCTGGCGGAGGGAGCCACTACTACAAAGGCCCTGAGGTGGGAAGGATTTTCGCTTTTTTTTTTTTTTTTTTTTAAGATTTTATTCATTTATTTGACAGAGAGAGAGGGAAAGCACAAGCAGGTGGAGGGGCAAAGGGAGAAGCAGGCTTCCCGGTGAGCAGGGAGCTGAATGCGGGGCTCGATCCCAAGACCCTGGGATCATGACCTGAGCCAAAGGCAGATGCTTAACCAATTGAGCCACCCAGGCGCCCCATAGCTCTTTTGGAAAAGAAAGGGAGCCTGTGTGGGTGGAGCCTCGTAAGACCACAAAGAGGAGTGGGAGGTGAGGTAGCCTTCCACATGGAAAAGATACAGGTCTTTGTTCTAGGAGCAGTGGAAAATCTCCTGATTTGGCTCATAAACCTGAAGTAAATACAGACTGGTAGAGAAAGAACCCAGCCCAGGGGCCTGAAGACTTGGATTTGAGTCTGGCCTCTTGACTAGCTTGGTATCCTTATACAAGTGTTTTCCCTTACGGGGCGGGGGTGGGGGGTGGGGGTGGGGGGGTGAATCTCCATATCTGAAGAGAGGCCTAGTAAAAATGCCTCTGTCCTAGAAGCTTTGTGAAGACCTAAGGATATGTCTTTGGTTCTTTTTGGAGTTTGTTTGTTTGTTTGTTTTTTAAGATTTTATTTATTTATTCATGAGAGACAGAGAGAGAGAGGCAGAGGGAGAAGCAGGCTCCCAAGGAGCAGGGAGCCCGATGTGGGACTCGATCCCAGGACTCTGGGATCATGACCTGAGCCAAAGGCAGATGCTTAACCATCTGAGCCACCCAGGCACCCATGTCTTTGGTTCTTAAGTGTTAAGTGTTGGCTGTCATGACCCCAAGAGCCTGTTTAAAGTACAGATTTCTGAGTCCAGCCCCATACTCTCTGGATGATTATTCTCACGCAGGGTGTTCACAGACCTGACTTGGAGAAACATCAGTCTAGAGAGTGGTGGGTGGAAGAGTCCTTGGTAAACAATGAAGTGAGGACCTAATGGTGGGATTTTAGATAGGGGCCTAGCCTACATGGTCCCCTGCTCTTCATGGAGCTGGACACCTGCTGCAACCAACCTGGTGCTTCCCTACCTTTTCCCCCAAGGAAGTGCTTTAGGAGGAGAGATGTACACCCCCAGCTATCTGATTTCTGGTTCACAGATAGGAACACTGAAGCCCAGAGCTTGGAACCCAGGGGTCAAGCCCTCTGAGAGGGAAACAGAAACATAAAGGCTGCTGGTTCTGGTCTCAAGGCAGTTCCACAGGGATGAGAGAACATGAAGATGTGGCCTGAACTCTGGGTTCTGGTCAGCGTAGGGCAGGCCCAGGCAGCAGACAAGTCTGCGGGGCCCAGACAGCTGATAAAGATCCCAGTAACTCAAGGCAAGTTAAACACCTGAATTCAAGTCCCAGCTGTGAGTCTAGCTTTGTGACCATGGGCTAGTCACTAAACCTCTTGGAACCTCAGTTCATTTGTTTGTAAAATGAGGACAAGAATCTCTAGCTCAGGAAGCTGTGAGAGAAATAAGGTAGCACGCTCAGCAAAGTGTCTGGCTCTAAGAAGACTCTCAATAATTGAGGGCAGTTATTCATATAACTCAACCAACACTGTGAAGTAAGTACTATTATTACCTCCATTTTTCAGATGAGAAAATCGAGGTACCATAGCACAAGGTCACAGCTAGGAAGTGAATGAGGGAAGATTGGAAGCCAGGCAGTTTGGCCTCAGAGATGGGACACTTAATCACAGTGCTACATTGTTTCTCTGGGCCTCAGTTTCCTTCTCTGTAGAAAAGGAATCTATGTAATAGAACTCTTCTCGTGGTGTTGACGTGAAGTTTGAGTTAATACATGTAAAGAGCTTAGGATACTGCCTTTTATTTAGCAAGTGCTATAGAAGCTATAATTTTTATTAAAGGGAAACTTTATCAGACTATCCAGAGATGGTCTGGAAAGGAGGTAGTGACTGCCTCATCTAGAGATAGGGAAGAATCCGCTGGAATTTCTAGGGGGAATTCAAGCCACGGGGAAGGTTAGGCCTCATGCCCTTTAACTCACCTTCCAGCCCCAGCACTTGGTGGGAAAAGTGTGTGGGGGGGGGCAGGGGAACGAGCTGAGGTTAGAACAGAGTTGTGTGGGATTGGGGCCAAAAACCATAGGGGAGATGCAGGAAGAGCATCCTGGGGAAGTGGGGCTCAAAGGAAGGATTGGTGGGATTTGTAACAGCCAGGAGGGACCTGGGAGCTTGCATGGTGTGATGGAAGTCATGGAAAGTTATTGAGCAGGGGACAAAGTATGACATGATACTTTATGAAGAAGATTCTGGCTGCCTGAACACAAAGCATATTATGTGTCTAGGGGCAGGGGACTGGGGCAGGGCCACTGGGCATAAGGGTACTGACTCTAAAGATGCAGCCCTTGCCACTTACCCCAAGGGCTCCTGTGGGTCATAACTTGGAAGCCACCAACCCCTGAGGTATACAGATGAAGAAACAGGCCTAGAAAGGAGCACTAGACTCGGGTCTCCTTCTTCCCAGCCTAGCTTCTGGACCCACCTGGCTCCCTCCCCTGCCTATGGCAGCATCCTTACCCCCTCACACTGGCCGCCCCCAGCAGCTGCTGCTGAGTACTCCCTAAGTGGATCTGCCCATAATCCTCTTCTTTTCATCCCCTTGGGAGGATGAGCTGGTGTTAAGACTAATGCAGCCATTAATCCTATTTCCTCCCAGCCATGATCCCCAGGAGCAGCTGGGTGGAGGTTGTCCAAGCACTGAATGAGAAAGAAGGGGCCTAACTAGAGCGGGTGCCCCAGGAGGCCAGGCTAAATCAGACATATTGATTATGACTGAGACACTTCTAACTGCTAGCAATGGCCCAAGCTGCCTTGAGGGTAATGAGTTCCCCATTACCAGAGCTTTGGGAACAGGAGCCCAACAGCAATTCCAGAGCAGAGGGCGGACCAGGATTCCTGCCTGGGGTGGAGTCCCCTCCAGCTGTGCAAGGCCAGAATTGTGTGCAAACAGTTGCTGCCTCTGACTAACCAGAGGGGAAAGACAAACTACATACACTGGGGACCTATCGCTTCAGACAGACGGTGCCAATTACCAGTTAGCCCACTAATTCTGCCTTCTTCTGGACCTACCTCTGTCTCCCCTGGGCACTTGGCAACCTTCAGGCCAGACCCACATCCAGATAGCCTCTGTGTCTGCAGCCCTGCATAGGACCCTGTGCCCTGGCACAAGGCCTTAGCCTCTGAGCTGAAGAAGGAAGATGGTGAGATGGATGGAACCTGGGCCTTCTGGGAATGCTACAGCATTTGAAGAAGCCCAGAGGCTGGGGAGAGAAGTACAGGTGGATATTTTGATGACGCCAACCTCTCTTGGCCCCTCTGAGGTTACCTGGTCCAACTTCTTTCATCAATGAACAGACCAGAGAGGAAACTCGAGAGCAGAGTGTAAGAGCCAGGAATGTTTAGAAGGAAAGATATGGCCATCCCTGGTGAGGGAAATGCAGATAATTCAGAGCCCCCCTTTGAGACCTTAGGAAGGAGAGGCCTTGGAGAACCGCAAAGGCATGTGGCTTGAGTCTAACTTTGCGTCTTTCCTAGAGAAGTTCCGCCCATTGGAGCCATGGAGGTGGAGTCTGCGGAGGTCCGGTCCTCCGCCCCCGCCCCCGGCTACAAGCGTTCGGGTCGCCGCTACAAGTGCCTGTCCTGTACTAAGACATTTCCAAATGCGCCTAGGGCAGCACGTCACGCTGCCACACACGGTCCTGTAGACTGCGCAGAGGAGGTGGCGGAAGCGAAGCTGAAGCCGGAGACAGAACCCAAAGCAGAGGATGCTGGCGGGGACAAGGTGTCTGGTGCATCGGCTAAGCCTCGGCCTTATGCATGCCCGCTGTGCCCCAAGGCCTACAAGACGGCACCCGAGCTGCGCAGTCACGGCCGCAGCCACACTGGCGAAAAGCCCTTCCCTTGCCCCGAGTGTGGCCGCCGCTTCATGCAGCCCGTGTGCCTGCGCGTGCACCTGGCCTCGCACGCTGGCGAGCTGCCCTTCCGCTGCGCTCACTGCCCCAAGGCCTACGGCGCGCTCTCCAAGCTCAAGATTCACCAGCGTGGTCACACGGGCGAGCGGCCCTACGCTTGCGCCGACTGCGGCAAGAGCTTCGCCGACCCTTCGGTGTTCCGCAAACACCGGCGCACGCACGCGGGCCTGCGGCCATACGGCTGCGAGCGCTGCGGCAAGGCTTACGCGGAGCTCAAGGACCTGCGCAACCACGAGCGGTGAGGGCGCTGTGCTGTGGGTGATCCCGGCTGGGAAGAGCTTCGGGAAGAGCCGGCCAGTGGGGCGGAGGTGGGGCAAGGCTGCCCTGTGACCAATGGGAACAGGGGTTGAGTCTCAAAGAGTGAAAAGAGCCAATGGAAGGTGAGGGGGGCGGGGCTGTAGGGAGAGCCGAGTGAAAGAACGCGAGAAGCGGGTGCCCCAGCTTGGGCGGGGGGCGGGGCAGACTGCGTTGGAAGCCAGCCCTGGAGGATTCCGCTGGGATCTAACTGGCCTGGGTCCCTGGACAGCTGGATAGGGGGCAGGGCCGGAAGTCGTGCCACCCAGAGGATCTCTGGTGGAGGCCCGTAGGTGGGAGTGGAGCCTGGCCTTTGGTGTGCAGAGAGGGGGTCTTATCTGGGATCTAGACACCCAGCCTGAAGGTTTCTGACTCCGGGGTGCAGCCCTGTGGTCCCCGAGGATGTTAGGAGCCCCTACTGTACAGGGCAGACAGGCAGCAGGGGTCAGGTGATAGGCCTGCCACCTTCACATCCGGTCCTCCGTCCTCCACAGGTCCCATACCGGTGAGCGCCCCTTCCTCTGCTCAGAGTGTGGCAAGAGCTTCTCCCGCTCATCCTCGCTCACGTGCCACCAGCGCATCCATGCGGCTCAGAAGCCCTATCGCTGTCCAGCCTGTGGCAAGGGCTTCACGCAGCTCAGCTCCTACCAGAGCCACGAGCGCACCCACTCCGGCGAGAAGCCCTTCCTGTGCCCGCGTTGCGGCCGCATGTTCTCCGACCCCTCGAGCTTCCGGCGCCACCAGCGGGCGCACGAGGGCGTGAAGCCTTATCGCTGCGAGAAGTGCGGCAAAGACTTCCGGCAGCCCGCAGACCTGGCCATGCACCGGCGGGTGCACACGGGTGACCGGCCGTTCAAGTGCCTGCAGTGTGACAAGACGTTTGTGGCGTCTTGGGACCTCAAGCGCCATGCGTTGGTGCACTCGGGCCAGCGGCCCTTCCGCTGTGAGGAGTGTGGGCGAGCCTTCGCCGAGCGAGCCAGTCTCACTAAGCACAGCCGGGTGCACTCGGGCGAGCGCCCCTTCCACTGTAACGCCTGCGGGAAGTCCTTCGTGGTATCATCAAGCCTGAGGAAGCATGAGCGGACCCATCGAAGTAGCGAGGCCGCAGGGGCGCCCCCACAGCAGGAGCTGGTAGTGGGGCTGGCACTGCCAGTCAGCGTGGCAGGCGAGGGCCCCGCGGCCCCGGCAGCAGGTGCAGGGCTAGGGGACCCCCCAGCAGGGCTGCTGGGGCTGCCCCCGGAATCAGGTGGTGTGATGGCCACCCAGTGGCAAGTGGTGGGCATGACGGTGGAACATGTGGAGTGCCAAGATGCTGGGGTTGGGGAGGCTCCTGGTCCCTTGGGGGGAGCAGGCGAGGTCGGGGGCGAGGAGAATGATGAGAAGCCACCGCAATTTGTGTGCCGGGAGTGCAAGGAGACGTTCTCCACGCTGACGTTGCTGCGACGGCATGAGCGCTCACACCCAGAGCTCCGGCCCTTTCCCTGCACCCAGTGCGGCAAGAGCTTCTCTGACCGAGCAGGGCTTCGCAAACACAGCCGCACTCACAGCTCTGTGCGCCCCTACACCTGCTCCCACTGCCCCAAGGCCTTCTTGAGTGCCAGCGACCTGCGCAAGCACGAGCGCACCCACCCTGTGCCCATTGGGACCCCCACGCCCCTCGAGCCCCTTGTGGCTTTGCTAGGAATGCCTGAAGAGGGACCCGCGTGAGGCCCGTCGCCCCCTCCAGCTCACTCCCAAGAGCCCAGACCTCACAGGGTGTCTCCTGAACCTCTCTGCCCCAGCTCACTCTTTAGACTCCAGATCCCTGCCCCCCCCAGGCAGCTAGCTCTCCTTGCCAACAAAGAGCTGGGGACAATGGAGGTGGGCAGCGCTGTTGAGAGACACGTGTGGTTCTGAGTAACACTCATTAAAGCATTTCACTTTGACACTGGGCTGTCTTCTGTTTTTTGGTTGGGGGAAAGGGAGTGGGAGTTTGGGCATGGGGTAAGGTTCAGTGGAGACCCCTAGATTGACAGATTAGAAACTAGAAGGGTCTTTGGCTGCGTTGTTTCCCAATGTATATTTTCAGAATGTCCTGACAAAGCGTTCCCTGGTCAAGGAAGTACAGGAAATTCCCTGTGCTCTTCTTGGGGATTGTTGGTGATCAAAAGTGTATTAAAGTCATTGATAAGTCCAACAATGAACAAATCTATTTATCTTTGTTTAGCCCATAGTTATTTCATCGTGGAAACCTTTTATTGAGTAGTTCTATCCTTTTACAGATAATACACTGAGGTCCAAAATTAGAATATTTCCTGCGTACTGCAATAACAAACTAGAAAACCCACTTGGGGGACAAAGGAGTTCCATTCATAGTAACAACAAAACCCATAAACTATGAAGAAGTAAACCTCACAAGAAACATTCAAAACATATATGAAAAAATGGTATCATCCTGAAGGTTATAAACCCTAACTGAATGGAGACATACCATGTACCTGAATGGGAAGACATTAAAAATGTTGATTCTTCCTAGTTTAATCCTTAGATTCATTGTCATCCAAAAAGGTTTTTTTGTTGTTTTTAAAGATTATTTATTTATTTATTATTTTAGAGAGGGCGTGTGTGAGTGGGGAGGGGGCAGAGCGGCAGAGAGAGAGGAGAGAATCTCCAGCCGACTCCACACTGAGCATGAAGACTGACTTGGGGCTCGATCCCTGAGATTGTGACCGGAACCTAAATCAAGAGCTGAAGGCTAAACAGACTAAGCCACCCAGTCACCCCCAAAAAGGTTTTTTTTTTTTATAGGAAAGTTACAGCAGTATGGAATTTTTTTTTTAAGATTTTATTTATTTATTTGAGAGAGAGAGAGAATAAGAGATAGAGAGCACGAGAGGGAAGAAGGTCAGAGGGAGAAGCAGATTCCCTGCTGATGAGGGAGCCCGATGCGGGACGCGATCCCGGGACTCCAGGATCATGACCTGAGCCTAAGGCAGTCGCTTAACCAACTGAGCCACCCAGGCGCCCCCCAAAAAGGTTTTTAACAGAACTTAAAAACCCAAAATTCTATGTAATACATGTTTGAGGTGATATATTTGATATACTAGATAAACAACAATGCACTGAAGTTAAAATAAGTTATTATTGGCGCAAGAATCCATTAGCCAATGGAGTGGGGGAGAAAGGTTTAGAAACTGCCCTATTTCTAGGAATTTAGTTTATGATAAATGTGATTATTTAAATCAGTGGGGAAAGATAGGCTGTTAAATTATAGTCATATCCATATTCTGGAAGGCTACACAACTTTTTAAAGAAAAAAGGCACATGTTTAATGTGAATTGGTATAACCTTTTGGGAAGATGATTTTTTTTTTTTTAAGATTTTATTTATTTATTTGACAGAGAGAGAGAGAGAGTGAGAGCAGGAACACAAGCAGGGGGAGTGGGAGAGGGAGAAGCAGGCTTCCTGCCGAGCAGGGAGCCTGATGTGGGACTCAATCCCAGGACCCTGGGATCATAACCTGAGCCGGAGGCGGACGCTTAATGACTGAGCCACCCAGGCACCTGGGAAGATGATTTGATCATGTTTATTAAAAAGTTAAATGCATATACCCTATGACTTGGCAAGCACAGGTCAAATAATTACACCACAGAGTTCTTTTTCCACTTCCATGTTCCATGGCAAAATCGAAGATAAGAATGTTCAGTGCAGGGGTGCCTGGGTGGCTCAGCCGTTAAGCGTCTGCCTTCAGCTCAGGTCATGATCCCGGGGTCCTGGGATCGAGCCCTGCATCGGGCTCCCTGCTCAGCGGGAAGCCTGCTTCTCCCTCTCCCACTCCCCCTGCTTGTGTTCCCTCTCTCGCTGTCTCTCTCTGTCAAATAAATAAAATCTTAAAAAAAAAAAAAAGAATGTTCAGTGCAGCAAAATTTGTGATAACCAGGAATACCCTAAATGTCCATTAGCAAAGGACTAATTAAATAAGGCTAGCCGCTGTAAAATATATTATGCAGCTATTTTTTAAAAAATGAGGCTTATTAACCCATGTTGTTGAAAGATATCCCAAAAATATGTCAAGTGAAAAAAATAAAGTGCAAAGCAGTGTGATTAGTATACTCCCATCTGGGCTTAATTACACCTTAGTAGCTCAAATTCCTATAGAATATTCTTAGAAGGATACTCAAGAACTGATGCTGGATTATAAAGTCCAGCCACTAGGGCCTTCCTGATTTATAAGCCAAAATGAAGCCAAAGATCAGAGTGAACCAGATCCCCCTTTCCATGCTCTTATCTCTAGACTTGCTCTTACCAACTCCAGACCAAGTTGGCAGCCTCAGGAAGTAACCATTGGGCAGCCCCTCTCCAGGCCCACAGGCCAGTCACAGGGGACTTTGCAGCTGGCAATGTCAGGACTGTGAACCCCAGTAGCTCCAGAACAGAAGTATCAAGTATTCCCTTGACGTCAGGGACCTCACTCACAGTTGTCGTGCCCGGTCCTCAGACATTAGCTTTAGAAAGCGTTCTTATTCCTGCACTCCATTGCAGGACAAGGGTGCCCCATGGCAACAGCAGGGAGCAGGGTGTTGTGGCTGCGGGAAGAGACACCAGTTTGGCCAAGGACACTCACTGCCCAAAGCAGGACAAGCACTGACCCCAGGCTTTCTGCCTGTCCAGGCTGGAACCAAAGACTGACAGGGTCCAGGAAAGAAACAGACTGGACTGGGGTTTTGGTTACTACCAACTTGCTTTGTGACCTTGAGCAAGATCCATATACCCTAATTAATCAATAGATACCCATGGTATCTATCTACAATGAAGGATGAAGTGGGTCCCATGGATGTTTAGAAGGAATCCACAGCCTCTGTTCCCTTTCTCAGACCAGACAGTGCACCCATGTCTTGGTTCCCTTTCTCTGCTACCCCAGGTATCCTATACCCCAGTTCCTGCTCCTTAAGGACTCAGATGGTCTGACTTTTCTAAAAAATTATTTTAACAGCTTTATTAAGATAATACTTACATGCCATAAAATTAATCCACTTAAAATATCCAATTCAGTGGTTTTTAGTATATTCACAGGGTTATCGAGCAATCTAATTTTAGAGTAGTTTCACCTGCTTGAAAGAAACTCCACACCCATTAGCGGTCACTCCCTATTGTCCCTGACCCCATTTCCTTTCCCTCAGCCCTGGTCAATCACTAATCTACTTTCTATCTTTCTGGAGTTGCCTCTTGTGGACAATTCATGCAAACAGAATCATACAATATGTGGTCTTTGTAACCGGCCTCTTTGACTTCCCACAATGTTCTCAAGGTTCAGCCATGCTGTAGCACGTGTCAGTACTCATTCCTCTTCACTGCTGAATAATATTCCATTGTATAGAGATACATGTTTTTCACTTATTTTTTATTTATTTATTTTTTTGAGAGACAGGGAGAGAGAGAACCTTAAGCAGGTTCCATGCCCAGTGCAAGAGCCCAACGAGGGGCTTGATCTCACAACCCTGAGATCACGACCTGAACCAAAGTCAAGAGTCCCACACTTAACCAACTGAGCCATCCAGGCACCCCATGGAGATACATGTTCTAATCCGTTCATCACTTGATGCACATTTGGGTTTCCATTGTTTGTCTACTATGAATAATGCTGCTATGAACATTCATGTACAAGTTTTTATGTGGACATGTTTTTCTTATTTATTTATTTATTTATTTACTTATTTACTTATTTGTCAGAAAGAGAGAGTGCACACAAGCTGTGGGAGAAGCAGGCTCCCCGCAGAACAGGGAGCCCGATGCAGGACTCAATCCCAGGACCCTGGGTTCATGACCTGAGCTGAAGGTCATTAGCTTTTTTTTTTTTTAAAGATTTTATTTATTTATTTGAGAGAGAGAATGAGATAGAGAGAGAACATGAGAGGGGAGAGGGTCAGAGGGAGAAGCAGACTCCCTGCTGAGCAGGGAGCCCTATGTGGGACTCGATCCTGGGACTCCAGGATCATGACCTGAGCCGAAGGCAGTCGCTTAACCAACTGAGCCACCCAGGTGCCCTGAAGGTCATTAGCTTAACCGACTGAGCCACCCAGGTGTCCCTGGACATGGACATGTGTTTCAATTCTCTTGTTTGAAGAACTGTCAGAATGTTTTCTAAAGTGGCTGCACCATTTTACATTCCCACCAACAGGGTATGACTGTTCCAATTTCTTCATACCTTTACCAACAGCTCCTATTATCTGTCTTTTTATTATTGCCATCCTAGTAGGTGTGAATTTGTGGTTGTGATTTGCATTCCCTTGATGTAAACCAATGTTGAACATCTTTTTGTGTGCTTATTGGCCATTTGTACATCATCTTTGGATGAATGTCTATTCAAGTTCTTTACCCATTTTTTAATTGGACTATTTGACTTTTTGCTGTGGAGTGGCAAAAGTGTTTCTGTATTCTAGATAGAAGTTTCCTATGATTTGCAAAAATTCTCTCTCATTGTGTGGATTGTCCTTGTACTTTCTGGGTGCCCTCTGAAGCACAAAAGTTTTCGATTTTGAGGATATCTCATTTATCTATTTTTTTCTTTAGTTGCTTGTGCTTTGTGAGCCATACATAAGAAACCATTTCCTAATCTAAGTTCATGAAGATTTGTGCCTGTTTTTATCTAAGAGTGTTAGAAACATAAAGTTTACAACCTAGTTATAAACTTAAAAGCTTAAAATTTAGAAAACTTTTGGGGCAGCTGGGTGGCTGAGTCGGTTAAACATCCAACTCTTGATTTTGCCTCAGGTCATGATCTCAGGGTCCTGGGATGGAGCCCTGCAACTGGCTCCACACTCAGCAGGGAGTCTGCTTGAGGATTCTCTCCCTCTCCCTCTGCCCCTACCCCCCAGCCCCATGTGCTCTCTCTCTCTCTAAAAATAAATAAATCCTTTTTAAAAATTTATAAAAAATTTTTTTGTAGGGG